TTATAACTTTTTAATAAACAACGAGCGCCGGCTAAATCCTTCTGAGCGTTACTCAGGAGGGTAACCTTGACAACATATGTCAAGCCCAAGGTTATTGGAGGTGGGTGTGTTAATCTAAATAATTACCTATTATATTTATAAGAAGACTTATCAGAAAAAAGAATCAACCAATGTAGGACATTAATAATCGACACAAAACTGGCAAATGCTAATTAAAGAAATTTATTGCGAAAAATATTACCTCAGCCAGGATTTGAACCTGGACTACCCTGTCAATTATTAATTTCCTACGCTGGGCAAAATTTCCATCGGATAAACCGATCAAATAGTGTTTCCGATTGTTAATTTTTCCGGTTAAATTATGGCTACAATGAAATGCAGTTACCGATGAAATTTAATTGGCAAACCGATCATATTTTTCGTCGGATATGCAATTCAATTAGAAATATCCGTTCGTTATTATAACTCGATTATCCGATTATATTAAATCGGACATTTTTCCCGGTGTACATTGGTTAACTATTTACTGGCGACAATAAGTCTTTATTTATACACCTAGACCGCAAAAGAAATGAAGTTGCTGGAGAATTTTTGCTTTTTATCTTACACGAAAAGAAATCCGCGTGGGACGACCGAATGCAAATGCGATCGTCGCCCCGCGCACTGTTGCAAAGTGAAACGTGGAAATTGACTGTTCGCGATAATTCGAAAACCGAAAGCTCAAATCACTAATACGAAATTAATGTGAAAAAGATTAATTGCAGCGCCCTTTGTACCGCGGAAGACGGTAGCGGTGTTCGTGCTTAACGCGTTGCGGTGATAAACGAGAATATCTGTTCCAGCCGGGAAACAACATGGCAGGCATCTGCAATTTGGAGCGTTGCGGCAGTTCGCTGTGCGGCGTGAACGAACTCGATGCGGAGGGTAACTGCCGGGTCGAGACCTGGACTACCCCCTTTCGTATAAGGGTGGCGTTCGGTCCGTCTGTTAACACGGATGGCGCATTGGAAGACAATGCCGGCATGTGCCTCATGTACCAGCAGCTAGCTTGCGTAGCCTGAGCGTTTATAATTATCCCGCTCTCCGCAGGACGCATAAAGCGCAAAGCAGAACGCTAGAGACGACCTATAAACGCGGAGACGACTGTTACTGTCGAACCGAGGAGGGAAGCGCCATCGACTGCGAACGCCCGCTTCTGCGGCATTGTTTCCGCAACGACGTCGCTCTCGCGGCGGGAAATACGGGAAAGTACTTTCGAAACGGGACAAAGGATATTTCGCGGATTTCGCCCGCGCGGGTGTTCGGGCCGGCTGATGGACGCGGGATTACGGGATGGGAATTTGCGGGGCTCGGACGGTGGTGAGAGAATCGCGCTTGTAAAGCCAATTGATACCACAAAGCGAGTCAAAGAGTCAAATAGTTTTTATTTACAAATGAACTAGCTTAAATCGTAAACGCAGCGCACAACTCTCGATATAGTGATAGATATATTTATATATCTGTATATATATAATATATATAATTCGCCTTTGTGTCCCGCTTCTTTTTTTCTTCTTCTTCTTATTCGATTACCCGTCACGATCATCGGCTACGATACGCAGTATGTGTTTTAATCACGGGGCACCGGCATCTCACCGCCGAGGTTCCTCGAGCGCGAGATTAGCGGCAAAACGCTTATCTATTATGTATAATAACGTACGGTGGTAGTTTTCGCTGCGGAAGGCGCCGACGACAATCACGGCAATCGTTAGCGATAACGATAATGACGTTACAAGAATAAATTATAATGTCGTTAATACAATAATGTCGACGATGACGACGGCATCACCTCGAATTGCTCTCCTAGAAGAAACGTGCGCTTCGTCACCTTGTCCCCCCCCCCCTCCCCTCCCCACGGGGAAGCCAAGATCGCGTTAGTCTTTCTTTTATACAAGCTATCTCGCATATATCTATACGCCGTGTGTGGTAATTATAATTCGTAAATTCATCGCGGTAACGATAAGGAAAATTAGCGGCAATATAATGGAGACAATTCGACGACAGTGGTGAAACTGCAGCGGTTAACTTCGATGTCGTCGTCGGCGACACGTCGCTGTCGTACAATTCGAAATCATACGTATCTACCTACGAAGTCAAAAGGGCTGTTAAGTAGCGTAAGAGAGGGCGGTGATCGCGACGAACGTGTGTAATGCAAATGTGTACGTGATTACGCGTGTCTCTGTGTACTTTTGTCACTTGGTGCGGGGGGCACACGCGTTTCTGTCCTAATTACTCTACCGATACAGTTTCGGATGTCCGTGGGGCGTTTAACCCACCGAGCGCTGAGGCCATGTACCGAGGGGTGAATCCACGTTAAGTTCAAATAAATTAATACGCGGCGCAGAGAGGGAGAGATAGAGAGAGAGAGAGAGAGAGAGAGAGAGAGAGAGAGAAAAAAGAATTTATTTCTCCATCTTCGGAACGACAATATTCTCTCATCTTACGTCGAAATGCGTCACGCGTGCGTCGGCTGAAAGTGATAATTTCCGACGTGATAATTTTTCGTAATGGGGAAAAGTCGAACGTGTTCGGTGGTTCTGTCTTCGGATCGATTAAGCACCCCACCGCATCCGATTGAGCTACGTGTTCCCGAAGAACTGTCGGACGTTCGTCGTTGTATTTACATCGTCGAGCGATACAACGGAGCACTGTACAATTCGCGATGCTCACGGCGTGCGCAGGTAACGCGAGACTCGGGGTAAATGACGGTTGACGGTGCCGCACGGAGGCGGCGATATCGAATCCGGAGGATACTTCCTCGAACATCCGATAAAAGATTCGGGATTCCGCCCAGGCCGAGGCGAATCCGATCATCTCGGAATCTCCGCCGAGTTTCCGCGAGCGTTTGAAAAATTCACGTAACACGAGAGTACCTCTCTCGGCACAAGGCTCTTTTTTTCCATTATCCTAGCGTCCTTGTAGCGAGAGATTTTTTTATCGAACCACCCGAGAAGTTGCCGTACGTACGGAATGTACGTTCGGCTATTCGAAACTTCTACGGCTATCCGAATTTGTTAATTAACCCGACCGACGTCCGAGTCGCGTCCTGAGAAAAAATCCGGACGCGGCTCGATTTGTGCCCGCGCAACCTGCGCATCCTGCTACTCAATCAAACCGAATTTCTACGTATTAGAAAACCTGGTATTAGAAAACCTGGACTTCCACCCTCGATCCTGAAAGCGGACGCGGCGGAACCAGCGGAGAGACGCTTACGGAGAAGCAACGCGAGTCGATCGGGACTGCCAGATTATTTTTCTCCCGCGTCGATCGATTTCTGAACGTTCAACGATGTAACGCGGGGGGTTTGCGCGGAGTCGAAATTGGCACCCGAATCAGCGGAAGGTAGCGGCACGTAAGTAAACGCGCGGCGAGAGCGTAGTTAACGCGCTTCTAGCGAGTCGGCAAATGGGTAATCGATGGCCATTAATCAATTTCGACTGGCGCGTCCGCGGCGCGTCGCGTTATCATAAAGCCCGGGCCTCAAAGTGGGACGCTCGATGTGAGGGCACGTGGGGTACGCGCGCCGGGAAGAGCCTGGACGACACCGCCCAGGGGTGAGGAGAGAGAAAAAGGTCTAGCAATCCGGCGGTCCCGCAGGTCCAACGTAAAGCAAAAGGAGCGAGCGCGGTGGTGTGAAGCCGCAAGCGGCGAACGTACATTACTGTAAATTATGCTAACGTTACTGGCCGTCACGAAAGAGAGTAGGTACCATAAGACTTGGCTACAAATGGTGCGGCACTAGAGCAACAATACGTGTGCGGATCGCACGCGCGCACACACACACACGCACACGCACACGCATTCATCCACCCACACACACACACACGCAGGCGCGCACGCACATATACACACACACACGGGAGGGGGGGGATCTGTACACACACTCTCGCTCTCCCCCCTAGAAACATGTTGTGCGTGCGTGTGCTCATTGTACCCGCCGCCGATATGCATTTTCTTCTTTTTTTTATCACTCCTTCCCCCTTCCCCTCGCCACCTCTGGTCGTTTTGCTGGGTCATTTAGGACAGGGGAAACGACCGCGACTCCAAATTGATCGATGGCTCTACGCGCGACTATCTTCCCCCCCCTTTTTTTTTTTTGATCGAAGAAGAGACGTCGTTCGTATCACTCCGCGTTCTTCTGCTTCACTCGACTTCGCCTTAACTTTCAGCCCTGTATCGTTCGCACACGGTGAAGCTGAGAAATTCGGCGCGCAAATCGCTGGGCGTCGGGGACAGTTTACAAAAGGGTACGCCCGCGGTCCCATTGGTTCGCCGCGGAGGAGAGCCGAAGGAAGGCGGTATCGGCCGAGCGCGGTCCCTTCGGGTTTCGCGCCGCGCGGAGGAAAGAAAGGACATTCTCCGGCGATCGATCTAACGCAGCGGCTCCGCGCGCCGCTCTTTTATTTCGAGTCAACAGCATTTGAATATTGCAGCATGCATGCGAGCATTCCGTGAAATATAACGTATGTGTGCGTGGACGTACTCGTATCGCCGATACACGGGATATATGTCTAGTCAGGGTCGAATTATGGCTGGCTTCCACTTACAGGGCTGCATAAAGTACCCGCGGCGCTGTGTGTGCGCCACAGGAAATTGCGGGCGTGTTATTTCCATTTAAATAACATGCAAACATCCATTTGCACCTGTCTCAATTTACACGCGGATCGTTCTATTGCTCCCCCGTTTCAGAGATGATTTTTGAGACGCGCGCTCCCCGACGCGTTCCGCCCCGTCGCCCTTACGTACGCGAAGATGGCGGGGCGCGAGGCGCGCCCAAATCAGGGACGCCAAAGCACATTCTACGTTCTCTACGCGCTGGAATTTAAATATCTTGAAAGTCGTTACCTCTAAGCTGACCTCTAAGACTCGCCTAAGTCTCCTTTACAAATGCAAGTACGTCTAAATGTGTCTCGGATATATCCTTTTAAATTAGAACGAGGAGCTAGAAAACGCGCGTGAAAAACTCTGGTTGATCTGGATTCGCCAGTATCACAAAAAGTCGCCGCTGATACGACGCGGTGATCCGACATTGATTTCCGACCTGTTCGCCGGCGAACTGTGCCGAGGGTCGCGCAGGCATCAATTTTCCTGTACAACTCTTTCCCAGAGTTGTTCAACAATAGCAACTGCGTGGACAGCACGACCACAGCATAGACCGCGTACAGTCCCCTAATGACAAAGTGGTAAAGACGTAACACAGTCGATGCATAGCCGATGCAACCCTGGGTATGAAATCCAGTCTTTAAGGCACAAAGAATCGGGGCGATTGTGAGCAGCGAGCAAACTCAAGCCGATAGCACCGCACGTAAATGAGGGCAAATGCAGAAAACGGTCTTCCACCAACAAATTATTCATACACCTTATTAGGCATAACGCGGGGGGGGGGGGAGGGGGTTTGGGGTTGGCGTACGTATTCGACTTGGCGAAAAGTGTAACGCGCGAATATCTTCGAAGCGATTTTGGGGTGTCGGAAACTTGTTCGCGACTTTTATGCCTCGTGCGAAAAATGAAAGTTTACTCGTGGCGCGTTTCTTTCACGGCAAATGTAACTTTTACAGCGGGGTTGAATTGACCAAGGAGATCTACGCTTCGGGAAAATCAGGTGTCGTACATTATTGAGCTGCTAAGAATATATCACTCGTTACTTTTCGTAATATTAATTATTTATAAAAGACACAGAATCAATATGTATATGCTAGAAATAATCGAAATATGTACAACAATGTAAGTTAGAAAAACATGAAACTTTGCCGATTCGTTCAACTTAAAATCGTAACTTTTTACAATTTTTCTTACAGATTTACATTCATACGATATATTCGGGCTGTGTTAAGCTGTAATTGTTCTAAACTGGCATGCTTGGAGTGAAAATATTGAAACGGCTACAAAGTAACGCTCTCTAAATGTTATTGTTTAAACCAGCCACGTCTGCGCGAGGAAAGCAAATTTTCTATTTGCGTGGAGATCTAGAAAGAGCTTAAAAGTTCTCACAGTTTAATTAAATGTCTGTATCAATTTGATCTCCGCGGAACCATTTAAATGTTAATTTGCCGCCAACTTTTCACATTAGCCTAATTTGCATGCCGGATTTTATTATTCGTCCAAGTTCCATATCCGCAGTAATGATCACCTTTAATAATGCGAATAATTTTTATCATCCGTCTAAATTTTTTCCCCCCTTGCGTACACTTGTGTGGTTTCCCTGCGAATTCTATCGCGTCATTTTCCAACTTTATTTCGTCGTCTGACTAAGTTTTCCCTGTCCAACGGCACGTCGATCGTCTCTTTGTGGCTACCATAAACGGACTCGATATTTAGCTTAAGAAACTTAAGAGTTACACGCAAACGTAGGTATCGGGCAGTAATTTATTTATTGTAAAATAACACGCGTACACTGAGAAAAAAAATATTACTCCAGTCAAGAAAATTATTCATTAGGTGACTCCTAATAGCTCATTAATTTAAATTTAAAATATAATAAACAAGTTAAAACATGCATTGCTTTAATTTACGTATTTATTAAATATCAAAGAATAGATAATTTTAATTTTATTTTAATTCTATAAAATGTTTACTAGGATGTAATTTTCACAGCGAAGAAAATTGGATTGCTTATCTAGCAAAAACAATTATTTCATTTAATAAATAGTGGAAAAGTTTTTTATAAAACGACCGAACTGACAGAAAAGTGATATATATTTAAGTCACAACGTTTCGATCTCTTTATCGGGTTCTTAATAAATAGTAATCTCATGAGATCTTTATTTGAGTGTAGAAAATGTAACGATTTTAATTAATTTACTTAATATAATACATAGATTTACTTGAAATTTGATATTTTTCTTTAAATAGAATAAATATTTACTTCAGTAAAAGAAATTTTAAGTAAATCTATTTACTTAGTTAAAAATTTTTTTTGTCAGTGTAGAAATTCGCGCGTGCAATTCTGAATTAAAAAATGATCTTATCAACTAATGCCATCGTCAGTTTTTGCGAAGCCAAAAATAATTTCTAAGTAAGATCGAGTAGTCGATACACGAATGCGTTTGGTAACGTAGCGCCGTACAAAACTTAGTTACAGAAGTAAATTGTAAGGTACGTATTTTAGTGTATAGAAGCAACGTTACGATTGTGCGTAATAAATTATCGGTATATGCCAATAATGCGAAGCTGTATTTTATACTACGCGAATAGATTATTGCGTCATTCAATATAACATGAGTAAGATCAAAATATTTGCGGCTCCATTAAATTTGCATTGCACAGCGGATAATAATCCAACGGCTAAAAACCCCTTAAAAGATTCTCCCTTTCCACTCTCATAAGTACGTTAATATCGTTTATGATTTATTTCCGTGTCCACGTCGAGATGCGCGCCCACGAATCAAAGTGAAACGAAAAAACGTCGCGGACGTTCAGATATGGTCGTTGTTAAATTTGTAATCAATCGGTCGCAATTTTGGTCCAGAGGGAGAAACGGCTGTTCCGTGTCGAGTCACCCGGGGGGGAAAAGAAGAAAAAGAAAGAGAGAGACGCCGAAAAGTCTACGATTAATTTTGTCGAAGAAGCGACGATTGTCTATAGTGCGTCCGTCGACTGCTCGCGAGATCCGTACACTCGATCGCACACGCGCCTATATGATATGCTTTTGTCGTCCCTTCCTACATTTCCTTCCACCCCCTGTTCCCAGGCACAACAGATAATATATGTATAACGCGGAAAGAGATGCTCTTCCTTCGCTGCTATCGGGGGCGAGCGCTGCATTACAACTCCGCGCGCGAGGTACAAGAACAGGGGTGCTGTTCTTCCTCCGCTGATATTACGAGCGATATCTCGAATACTGGGGTGGGAGGGAGGAGCTCATGGATTGGTCCCGGCGATATCCACGGTGCGCAAAAGTGATACAGGTCCCCGCGCCGTCACCGCAATTACCACTAAAAGTGGCGGTACGACTCGCATCTGGATTCCCGAATGTCAATAACGGGGGTCCATCGTGTCCCACACTTTCACCACTCATTTAGCGCCGCGTTTACCGAACGGTGGCTGCGCGATCTCGAATTTTGCCCGAATATACAAAGTTAAAAGTTCACCGACGGCAATGTGGAGGAGGAGCGGACAGCCGCATTTGCGCGCGCTAAATATGCGGTGACAGCGCGGATCGTAGGATCGGACGAAGCACATCCCATGCTAAACGTGCGGCGAACAACGGTCGTACGTACGATTTTCACGGGTGTGAAAATCTACGACCGAGGGGTAGGGGTGTACCAAAAGATACGGTGCATCTATCGGTATCTCTTTTGCTATATAAAACGGGCTGCAGTGTAGGGATGCAATTTCCACTGTCGCTGATTCGATTTACCGTTTACACGAGTTCCACGAGAATGGCACTAACGATAGAAATAATGTAGGCGCGCGATATAGATCGCTGGAAGATAGGACGAGGTTCTTCCGCGATGAGTAATCGATTCTTTTTTCCCTAATCGAGGTAATGTGTATAGACCGGATGATGATATCGACAATGGAAACGTATATAGCTTCAAAGGTAATAAAGTTTACGTCCCCGTTTCTACTGTGCGCAGCATATCCTTTGCCACAATGTACCTTAGATCACCAACTATCTTAAATTTAGAAGCAATGGGTGATGCGATGTTTATGTGAGTCACAAACACGGTGGTCTGGTGGACGGTATAAGACATTCGGCTGCACTCTTGTGGGATATTTTCGTTTTACACTTGCGTATTAATCGCCATACTCGGAACGAGACGAAATTAAAGGCAAAATTTGTGAAAGGAAGAAGAAAAAGCCGACCGGGGAATAAATATTGAAGACACTCTCGCGTTCTCTATTATAAAAATCCGTCTAACTCGTAATAATATCTAGCCGAAATTACTTAGCGCGATATCGTCCCGCTAAGAAAAGAGATTGCGATCATTTGTTGCGGTTGAATATTTAAGAGGAAAGCGCGGATGGAACGACAAATTAGAAAAATACAAAATTTCTCTAGCGGAAATTAATAAATCGTGGCGTTCGCTACATCAAAGCACGAAGGGAGAAAGAACCTATATAGAATTTCTCGAGAAGATTCTTCGATCATGAACGATATATAGCGTCGATACATCGATTCATTTATTTGCTATCAATGAAATGTATTATCTCCTTTATGAATATTAAAAAATACAAAGTATGAAGCGAAGGAAGGAGGAAAGTTCTCTCTACTTGCTACACAAGTTCTCCTTGACTTTCTACACAAGTTGCTTATTTCGCTCAATAGATGGCTTGTGGTAGGTATATAACCGAGAGATTTTCTCGCATGCACCTCTTCGTCCCGGCGGTTGTATATATATTTGGAAACGCAGAGTCAAAATTACGGAAGATGGAACTTTCGGGGGCGGTTTATCTCCCGATTAGTCGCGTCCCCTTCCCTTAAGGGACTCCTATTGTTCGAGGCTGTCCACCGAAGTTCCGTCTTTCATTTTTAATTCTACATTTCGGGTAAATAATATATATATACCCTTTGCGGTCGTGTATCTGGTGACAGGCGCCGCAAAATTTTTTGACCGTTCCGGTTGTACCCGCCGTCGGGGGTCTCAGCCGCCACGCTTCGCCGGCAGTGTTTATTTTTGCCTAGCCGTTGAGAATGGGCAACGGAAGCCGTGATGCTTCGATGCAGCGAGGTATCGTTTTTTACATTTTTTGTTTGTCTTTCTTTCCCCTTTGCCAAAGCATGCCTAACGGAATTTACGGGATTTCACAGGGCAATCTCCTAGATTATGGGTGTGTACATGCCGCGTCATTCGCTCCAAAATAATTCCGACCAGTTGTGAGAGATACCCATGTCTGAGCACGCTACGACCGCAAATGGTTAATCCAAACCTCCGGCTCTCTTGGTCCCGTTGGTTCGTAGGTTACAATTCCTCCGGTCTTCCTCTGCAACCCACCATACGAGAAAAAAAAAGAAAAAGAGACACTAGAGATTGGCCGGTTCGGTCGACGTTTAAGATTCACGCAATCGCGAACTCGGCTAATTCTGTCGAGTTTGCCGATCGTCGCTTCGCGACTCAAAACAGCCCCGTATCGTTTATGCCAATTAACGGCCGCATTCAGCGCACACAACAGTTGAGGGATCGCTACCTCTACTAGCGTTTTTCCTGGCGAATATATACTTTGTTGCGCGAGCGCTCGATACAATCTAATCTAATCTAACCCTAACTTCTGATCAACGCATGTGTGTATATGTCAAATAGGTCAAATATGAACATTTTGCGATTTCTCGCGCACTTCCAACGAATCCACAATATTGTAGTTCAATCCGTTATATACGTACTGATTTTCATAAAAAGCCATTGCAATGTATACAGGGTGTTATGTAATACCCGCCTCACCTCTTATTTAAGAATAGAGTGGACTAGACTGAGTCGAAAAGTCTTGTACTATTTTGCAATTTTCGCAATAGTTAACAAGTTATTAGTTATTAAAAATCGCTATCTTAGCTCGGCCTACCACCCAATTCAAGCGCACTGCGAGACGCGGCCGTTCCGCAATCGGCGCGCGGAGAGTTGTTTATTGTACGTAGCCTTTGCCGTGTGTCTTAGGCCGGTATTCATAGGCAACTCTTATATTCAAGACCGTCTTCAGATTATCTTTAGATGCTGCATAGCCAATGAAATGTTCCATACAGCATCTTTAGATAAATTCAAGACAGAATATAAGATCTGACCATAGACATAGTAAATATAGACTGAGCGTCCCGTTGAATAAGCTGAAGCTTGTGAAGAGAGAGAGAAGATTTAAGAAGACTTTCTGTCTCTGTCTTACACCATCGTAAAAGAAAAGTCCCGCGCGCTTAGCAACGTCGATCGCGGGACGGCCGCATCTCGCCGCGCGCTTTAATCGGACGGTAGGCCGGGCTAAGATAGCGATTTTTAATAATCAATAATTCGTTAACTATCGCGAACATTGCAAAATGGTAGAGGACTTTTCGACTCGGTCTAATCCGCTCTATCCGTAAGTAAGAGGTGAGGCGGGTTTTACATAACACCCTGTACAATACAACTCGCAACAGTTGCGTCGATGTAGCATAAAAATTTCTTTTCGAAAACATGGCGTTCGCTACCGCAACACGTTGTGGGAGCGCTTCGAATCGTGGACCACTCAGCGCATAAATCCACAACCTTGTGCGTGCGCTGAATGCGGCCAATGTCCTTTCGTTGCACGCCGTGCAACATTTCCAAAACAGTGAGATCTCTTTCTTACGCAATCGACGTTATCGTGAGCATTGCTATTGCGCACTTGCAAGATTTCGTAATCATTTCCGTTGCGCGCGATTTTCGCGTAAAATGTAAATTAAGTGGAGCACGTTAAGCCGAATAAAGTGATATTTAGTCATACAGCACCCGCGCGCTTTGTTTTACACTTGTTCGTATACGTATTTGTTAATTATATGCTGAACGCATGTGCAAGTATGACTGTACGCGCGTTCTACTGCAACGTTTCATTTCATGTCTTGCGCACGGCACAAGTATTAAACACGCGAAATTTAAACTCGGTACGTACGAGGAGATTATTTAGATATAAATGAAAAACGATCCATTTGCGAATAGCGATTCCGCGCATAAATTGTGACGCACGTTAACTTTCTGTGATCTGCCCGGATTTTTCGTTCGGCCCGCGTCGTCGCAATCCGTACGAATAACGATTGATGTAAATGTTAAGATAATCAATAAGAGTTTTGCTTCAACCAACTTTCAGATAAGTTATCCAAGAGCCTGACTGAGTGAAATTCATCGCGTGATTCGGTCTCTCGTGAATAAGGGTATAAGATATAAAACTCAGCACAAATGAATATGATAATCTGTAAGGGAGCGTGTTTCGAATCCACTAGTTATTTATCGAATTAATTTTTCGCAGTTAAACTCGTTAATTTAGTCAGAATTGTAAATGGCCTGGACGCGAAAGAGAATTCTCAAGGTACAGTTGAAGGAGTTAAATTGTGTGTGCCCGAATTAGAAAATATAGACACTCTGATCCACCTTTGACGTGTACACGTCCCGTATTCCCATATGTACCACCCGATTGCGTAGCAAGGTAGACGAACGAGTTAAGCAAAAGTCGAGCTCACGAATCGTGCAAAACACCTCAGTGATTGAACGCCTTCGAGTTACCTGTTTTCGTGGCGAATGGATCCTTCGGATGATTCGTCTTAATGGCGTTCATTCTCCGGTTCTGCGGTCCTTGGCCGCCGCCAGTGCATCCGACGCCGGGCGTTTGGCCCATGCCGAGGCCGTGGGGCCCAGTTGTAACCGCGCCCCCGCAGGACTGCAAGTGCGACATTTGCTGACCGCAGCCTGGGGGCCCGACGGTCCCGGGCCCACCGGCCACGCCGGGCGGCGCGCCGGGTGCCCTCACACGTGGCTGTTCGACCGGCAATACACGGCGTCTCTTCTTCGGTAGCTTGGCTCGCGCCTGCGTGTGACTGTAATACATCGCAAAGTTGCTAACGATCACGGGCACCGGCAGGGCGATCGTGAGGACACCGGCCAGTGCGCAAAGGGCGCCGACGAACATCCCGATATACGTTTTCGGCACCATGTCCCCGTAACCGACGGTCGTCATCGTCACCAGGGCCCACCACAAACCAAGGGGTATGCTCTTGAAGTCGTTCTTCGGATTGTACTGGGTGCGCTCCGCGTAGTACACGAGGCTGGCGAATATGACAATGCCGAGGACGAGGAAGAAGACCAGCAGCGTGAGCTCTTTCGCCGAGGCGCGAAAGGTCTGTATCAGGATCTTCAGGCCCGAGGAATGGCGCGTGAGCTTGAACAGTCTCATTATGCGTATGATGCTCAAGAACTCGAGGATATCGGCGTTCTCCAGGTGGGCCGCGAACTTCTGCAGCGTCAGGTCGACGTAGAAGCTCAGGGTCGCGACCATGTCGATCAGGTTCACCGAGCTCTTGATGAAGTCGCAACGGTTCGGGCTTGCGGTGATACGTATCAAGAATTCAAGGGTGAACCAGGCGTTACAGACGCATTCGATGTAAAAGAAGACGTCGTGGGCATTGGTGCGAGTCTTGTCCACCACCCAGGACGTCACGTTGTCAGTCTTTACCGAACGATTGTGGATCACCGGCACTCGCATGTCCGGATGGGTTTTCAAGCAGAACGAAAGTATCGAAACGCAGATGAAGAAAACGGAGACTATACTGATTATCTGAAAGATCCAAACGTACGATCAATTCGTAAATGTTACACTTTTTACGGCGATACGCGAGAAAGCAGCAAATGTTATCTATCAGAAAAGTTTCGTAGCATATTGGCAAAGTGAGGTATTAGTTGAATTTAATAATTGCAAAAAACTTGTTATGGTATATAATTAGTTAACGTTTTTATAGAAAATACAAATAAGTAGAAACAAGTTTTTGCACTTTCAGACAGCATTTAGTGATTTTGAACAAATTGGTATTTCAATTAGTATAATTATTTGCTTAATGGTAATATAGCATAGAGTTAACCAGGACCCCAGATAGCACACATAGTTCTATGAATATTCTTCTGGAGTGCAAATATTCTTAATCGAAACGAATATTCTATAAATATGTATAGATTATTACAATTAGAAATCGTATATTCATAACAAAGAAGAACGTATGTAGAATTTTCGTCGAGAAGTCTGTCTCTTTGGAATATTCGTTCAGAATAATTTTTTAATATTGCACCCTGTTTATTGTGCAATACACATATCCTATGCAAAAGGCAGTGGAACCTGTGATCATACCATGTATAACCGACACGCTATATTCGATAGATTAGTCTATTCACATTCGAAAAAGATTTATAGTAGTGCCAGTCGAATGTTCTACGAACATAAGATAAAAATAGAAGAATAACCTACGGAATATTCCAAATATTCTTGAAGAATATTCTTATAATGTTCATAGGAGTGTCTTGTGCTATCTGGGACATTAGATATGGCCTGTACGGAAAAGAAAATCATAGACCGTAATTAATTTTATTTAATAATCATAAAATATTATAGTACGTTACTGTAATCATTCTCAAAAATAATCGATATTAACGGAGTTTGTGTGTGCATACCATTTGAAATAATGATATTGAATGTACCATACCATCCCAAGGAGAAATAAGTCAAAACAACGTCAATTTGATGACCAAATTTGGCTAATATAACATCAAATTGACATTATCTTGATTTTTTCACTTCTCCTTGGGATGTTTTTACTTTCAATTGCCTACGAACAGCTATAACGTGGAATAAATTACACTTAGGCTGTCGTAATCAACGTTGGACACATAACGAACATATGTAAATTGTGACTTATAATATTCCTTTCCGTTTTTACTTTTATCCTTTTTCTTCTATTCCATTATACTATGGCATTCTTTTCTTACAAGTCTGGAAAGATGGCCAATGCTCATGGTGTAATATTTTAACAATATAAATTTTCTACGAGGTATTTTTTCCTCAATATCGACATTACGCAATTTGCCAAACGTTATTAAAACATGAAAAAACTAAGATCATTTTCTTTGGCAAATTCAAGTCCTTACCTTAGCTGCGACGGAGGAGTAGGGTTCATCGAAAAGTGACCACATCTGAGGCTTGAGCTTCTGCCACCACGTGAGGGTTCCCTCGTAGTACGCCTCCTCGAAACCGAATTTCCTGGCCAGTTCCTCCTCGGTGGGCTTCTCGGTGTCGAGGTCCAGCCTGTCGAGGACCGTCAGCGTTTCCTGCGTATCCCGATGCTGCAAGGGCGTCGGGGCGAAGAGGGTGGGAAGAGAGACAGATGCAACAACGATTGTTATTCGTACCTGCGAAACTCTTTCTCGAGTGTGCTTTCTTTCGTGCTTTGCCTTGGGACAGATAAAGCGCGCGTGAAAAGCATACGCGAGCCGTTGTGTGCCTCCTCGCGTGAGCGATAAAGAAATCCGCTCGGTTTCGAACAGCCTTACCGAAAGATTCGTCCGATGTTGCGTATACGTTTACTTGAGCCTATCCCACATCGTTCTATCCCAATTAGTTCTCAGACTCTATTTGCTAACAGTACCCTTTCGGACCACTATTGGATCATGCATTTCCTTATTCCTTATCAAATTCTAAGATGATACGATAGAGAAGATACATGGAAGAAGATGGCTTCTCCCGCTAATATGTTTTGTTACGTTTTCTTATCATTTGTCGATCATTGTCTATCATCTTAGGGGTAATATTAAATAAATGATCCTATAGTGTGGCCTTCTACTGGAATTTAAGTAAAATATATCATTTAAGATCACACACGTTCTACTAAGTAGATTCTAGAAACAGTATTAGAATTAATTGTCATTTATCCAAAAAGGAAACAGCAATATTTGAAGCAAAAAGGTAACGTTGAAGGCACTTGGGTGAAAAGATGTTAATATTGTGCGCAAATTCGTGAGCGTGGTAGTAGAAGACGCGCGGTACTTTCTGACAATATGATAAATCGCCGACAAACTTTCCCAGCGTACTTGATAGATCATTCCGAGAAAGATCACACGTATCGTAAACTTATTTTTCTTCGTCATTTTCATCTATTAAATACGCTGGAAGGGTTTACCGACCGTTCCCGCGACTATCCCGTACACACTGCAATCTTCACGCCTGTAACGTTACTGTAAATCTACGGGTAAATTCGCGCGTCCATTTCGCTGATTTTGCGTGCAGCCACGCTTAGGCGTGATTAGGCACGTGCATGAGTCAGACATTATTTCACGATATACCTGCGTGTAGGTCATCCAGCAGCAGGGCTCGACCTGATTCGAGTCGAGCCCCCAGAAATCGAGCTCTTCCTCGAAAAGCGGGCCGCACACATCCGTGGGGTAGTGCAGCTTCCCGGTGCGATAGTAGTTGAGTACCTGGGCGAAGACACCCGGGTGTCTGTCGAAGAAGTACTCGTTGAGGATCGGGTCGTAGTTGGCGAGGGCCTCGGTCAGTCTCGAGAGCCGCGTCGCCGGGATCTTCTTCAGGGTCGCCTTGTACGTCTCGTGCCGGATTCCGCCCACGTTCAGAACCACGCGGTTCTCCGCGTCCATGTTTATCAAGTTCATTTTGATCACGGCTCTGCTACCGCCGGCCCCGACTTATAGAAACCCATGCGATCTGCGAACAATTAGCGCCCCCGTCGCGTCATCTAAAATTGGATGGGAAACCGCCGTTTTCCCCATCGCGAAAGACCTTATTGATTTTATCCGATTAACCTTTCTAAAGCTCAATCAAGGTTAACGCAATTTACACCCTTGTAAACTGAAAATTGACTTATTTAAACGGAAATTAACTTTGGGCCAATCGATCTTAATTTAAATCTTGTTTGGGCCATGTAACATGGTTTCTGGAATAAAACACGGGCGGGCGCTCAAAAGAGTTTTATTTATTAAACGCTGACGATCCGCGCTTCTGCCCTGCCGAATCGCGAATAATTCATTAACATTTCCGTCGGTATTTACGTCGACGTTACTCGATCGCGCGAGTTCGACTCGGATTGAAATGTAAAGCGCGCAAATTTGCGATCTTACTCCCGTCGCGTTAAAATCAATTCCGTTTGCGCGCGTGGCGCCTAAAAGGACCGAGCGAGGCATTCTGGGCGTAATTGATTTTATCGTAATGTATCACCCCGGTTTTACCGACCGGTTGCTTTGACACCCCCGTGTAATCTCATTTTGGATTACGTGGCGTGGCCGACGGGAAGTGTCGCATTGGTGCCATTGCTGCCTCAAGTCCTGCGCCCCAAGGACCGACGGCGGCCGCGCAAATCCGAACGCGAAGGCTCCACCGTTGTCGCGATAATTGTGACATTTAATCAAAAGTCCCTGCATCAATATCATATCGTTCAGGGATACGCCACGCCGCAAACACCGGCGTTGGAATCGCCCCGGCTCTTCAAGTCCTTCGCGTATCTCCGGAGGGACTGCATTCATCCAACTTTTTCATCTCGCGCTCACGGCGAGCAGGAAGTGCGCGGGGCCGTGCGGTGGTAGAAATAATTTCTACCAGGGACACGTCAGAACTTGCGCAGGCAGAAAAAATTACGCGGTTACGATTAAAATGCGCAAGATGTCGGAATATCGCGGGTAAAAAAAATGTCGCCGATAGTCGAATTTAAGGGGATGCCGGAGCGATTCTGCACTTTTGCACCTTTTGCACTTAAAACTATCTGTTTCGTGGAAACATTCGTGTAATATACAAATTAAATGGCTTACGTGTACAGATCGAAAGCGGCTTTGCTATTTTTTTATTAGACTCACAAACTTAGTTTCAGCGATGCCATGTTGTTCTTTCATTTAGCCGGAATAGCAAGCTGCTTTCGATGTGTACACGTACGCCATTTAATTTGTATATTACGCAAACGTTTCCGCGAGCTGACAGTTTCTGGGTTAGAGAGGCGCAAAAGTGCAGAATGACTCCAGCATCCCCTTAACCGCTGGAACACTTGCCGTGAGCGTCTCGCGTAGTGTCTCGCTCACGTGCGAGCGTGTCCGCGTCTATCAGGTTTTCCGGACCGATTATTTTTTTTGTTAAGTTATTTATGCGCAAGCGTCTCGGGCGGGACATTTTTAAGTAACCTTCCCTTGACATCGATACATCTGCATCTACCAATTACGCGCGCCTGATGCATCGGTGAACACGCCGGACGTGTGATACAAAAGGACAGTATTTCAGTACCAGCAAAAATAATATTTCGCTTCTAAACCCAATCGGGGGGGGGGGGGAGGGGGGGAGAGCAAACATATTTCACGCCATTCTCCCGCGCGTAATTAAAGAAAAACAACGCGTCGTTAACGGCGGACGACAAATAAAGGTTTCCAGATTCTGTAACGACAAACGGACGCAGATTATAATTTCAAGCTATAAAGGGAAACCAATTATTCTTCATATAGAGGAGGAAATTACGTCGGGTCCAGTCGCACTTTTCGATTTAAACAGCGCGCCCGTGCGCACTCGAGTCCCGCGGTCACCCGAGATAGCAGAGTTTGAAAAAAAAAGAGAGAGAAAAAAAAGCACGCTCGCGCGAGGTGATCCGAGCGTTTTGCCCGTGTAATCTTTTATATACCGCGTGAAAAAGAGCGGAACCGGCGCGCAAAGAAGGCGCCGCGCGGAATCAAAGGGACAGGTGTATCGGTTTTTCAATCCCGCCCGTCGCTTTTGTATGCCGACTGTGCGAAGCTGCAGCGGCTGTAAAAGGCCAACAATGTGGCTCGCGGCTCTGTCCCGCGAGTCCCCGAGTCGAGTCCAACCGTCCGATTATCAGATGACGCGCTCGGGATGCGTCACGCCGCGCCGACCACCTGCCGGACAACGAAGATACACGTCGGGCCGCGGCGTGCGTCTATCGGCCGCGACGCGGATCGTCGTCGAGCGAGGTCGACGTGCCTGGCGTCCTCGAATTAGCGCGCATGGACGCGATTCTAAGTCAACCCTGATCGCCTGCCGCCACCGCCGCCGCCGCCGCTGCCGCCGCCACCGGCGAGTGGGGACGACGGCGGTGGCGGCGGGAAACGTCTAGCAACGACGAAATCCGATCGAATCTTCGAGGTCGGGGCGCATTCCCGTGACGTCATCCGCACGTATTTTCGCACGTGCACGACGGGCGAGAGCGCGGCGTTTCGGACGATCGACCGCCGCGTCGCGGGGGCGAACCCCCCTCGTGCGAGGGGCCTCGTTCCCGTTTCTTTCCACGGGGAGGGGGGGCGAGGCCTAACGAGGCGTCCGCGTCCGTGGCCGAGCTATACGAATTAGCATCGAGAACGACGGCGACGGTGACGGTGGCGGTGGCGGCGTCAGGCGGCGTCGGCCAACCCCTTGTCGCGCGAGAATCGATAGTCTGCGTGCACGAAAGGCCGATATCGCGCTGCCCGTACGCTCTCTCGCGTACGGCATTTACCACCCGCGGCATCCTGTCTCGGTCTTCGCTTCCCGCGCGGGGAGGGCGGGACATCCCTCGCGGGCGCGATCGAGCCGGTGTCTCGGCGAGGGGGGCCGCGATCGGCGGGAGGACCGGGGGGGAGCGGGGCGGCGCGACTCGAGGGATCAATGAGAACCCCCGAGAACGAACGTTCGGAAATTCTGGGGTAGGTCGGGCGGTTGAATCGACTCGCGGTTCAACGAGCGCCCGGCAGCGACGTGTGGACTTGCAACGTACCGCAAGAGGCAGGTCCGAGAACGGGATAATTCACAAAGGGGGGCACCCCCGAACGCATTCACGTTCCGAGCACTCTCCGTGGGGTTGGCGCGTGTTCGTGCTGCCACCCCTCTCCCTCCCCCCCCCCCCCCCCCCCGCGGAGGATCCCGAAGGGGATACCCTCGTGATCGACACGTTTCCACTCGGGTACGCAAAGCGTTTCGCTCCCTCGACCCTCGTCACGGCGCGGCGTCCGGAGGGGAGATCCTCCTGAAAATTCACTCTCTCCCTCTCTTCCCCCCTCCGCGGAACTAGCAAATACCCACCCTCGCTCGCGCTCTCTTCATGTCTCGGAGATCTTCCGCGACATCTCGACGGCACCGCTCCGGTTCTCCGCATTCTCCATGTCGCCGAGCCGATGGCGACGGTGGCGATGGCGCTCCGCGGAGGATGGTACCGAGTCAACGGGTAGCACAATAGGCACTGTGTTGTCCTGCGTGCCACGTCCTGCGTTCGCACGAGCACGAGTCCTCTCCTCGTTCGGCTCCCCTTGTTCTCTCTCTCTCTCTCTCTCTCTCTCTCTCTCTCTTCCTCTCCCTCTTCCTCCCTCACCCCTTTCTCTCTCTCTCTTTCTATCTCCAGCGAAAGGTCAGGTCAGGCAGGGAACGCGCCGCGAAGGCAGAGGGCGTTTTCCCCGTCGCCGTGCACGCGAACGGCTCATCGGCGGAATGGTCGGGCCTTGATCGCGGTGCCACCCGACACCGTCATAGACGTCGGCCCGTCATTGTCGCCGGCTCGCGTCGTCCCCGTGACCGACCGACCGACAGGCGGATGTGACGAGGGGCCCCCCGAGGTCAGCTCAGCTGCGGCTCGTCGCGCGTACGGAACTGAGGTCGCGAACGAGAGCGACGTCGTCTCTGCCGACGGAGGACGGCGTCGGCGTCGGCGTCGACGACGCCGCGGTGGGGGTTGGCGTCGGCGACGGCGTGCGGAGGTTGAGCGCGCGCATCCCCGCTTTGTTCGCGTCACGTCGCGCCGCGTCGCGACGGGACCGCGTCCAGGTGGCCCTCGAGTTGGACCCGAGTTGCTGACCGAGGCGATGACTTAAAGCCACCTCCGGGCTCTCCGTCAGGCTCGGCCGCCTTCGCCTCCCCCGAGTCCAGCGTTCGACGAACGCGTCCCCCCCGATCGTCGAGGGCAGAAGGATACGCTCGAATGCCACTTTCATAAGCAGCAGCACGTAGATCGTTACTGTTATCTGGTATTCCTCCACATTTTTGCACGGGCGGCGTGTGAGTCAATTAGCATTGAGATGTTAAAACGCAACGTTTGCATAGTAAGCGAATGTAAATGTAACGTTTTGCGTAGCATTTTACGGAAAACGCGTGATTTTTTTTTGCGTGGGCGTGGATTGACCTTTTTGAATATGGCGCGGTTATTTCTTTGCGACCTTTTTCTTCATTCGATAATGTAAAACAGATGTTTTAACGGTTTACTCGGGGCACGCGTGTTCGATCAAATCAAAAGTAGATAGCAAAACTTGTTAATTAATTAATACTGCAGCATTTCCGGGAGGCAGCATAATGTACAAAATAATTAATATACTTTTCAATGAAGAAACGATAGTTCGACGACATAGTTTCCCGAAAGCGAAGCTTCGCACGTCATGAAGAATTGTTTCGCAACCTTAGTCCACGCGAAAAATCGTCTTATTTTCACGTAAAATATTTCTTTAGCAGCGACAACTGTCAATATTTAATTAATATCTGAATAAAAGATCGGATATCTAATAGATATTTCATTAAATATTCAGCAAGCATACATGCGGTAGGGACGTAAGTCTCTCATATATAAAATTAAAAAAAAATCGATACTATTGGATCGCGGATACAGCCGGGTTTGCCTGTGTGAAATTCATGATTATCCTCTTACATTCCTCTTATATGATTTAATATATCGATTTCTATCTGAAATTAACCGTCTCCTTCCCAAGGCCTCGTGCACGATTAAAATCACTGCAGCGATTCCAAGTTCGAACTTCCCTCTCGGAGCTTTGTTTAATTTGACAAGACTTAAGTCGATTACGCGGATGTTCCCTTTTTAGGTCACGCGATCATCTTCCGCTGGGCCCTTCGATTTAACTTTCCATGAGATTGCGATTTTTCGCCGTGGGACGATCAAAACCCGTGGGAAAGATCGGAATTACCCTTGTCGTACCGCGCTTTTTATAGCCCATAAAATTTCTGTCTCCGTCCCATTTTCTTTTCTTTTTTCCACTTATTCTCTCTTTTTCCAATTTCTACCGCATATCGCGCGGTATAAATGTGCAAAAGGGGGGGAGCTACGGCTCTCGATGGTAAGAACGTATTGATCGACTTCCTGAATTCTTTCAAATTTATGATAAAAATGATTTCGCGTCGATCACGCGTTTCATTAACTTGGCAACAAGCTGCTCGTTTCTTTTATCCTTCCGTTCAATCTGCTCCGGAAAGCATTCGACAAATCTCTCCATTTTTCTTCCTAACGGACTTTGCTTTCATCATTGTCTCTTGCAGATCAGGCGGTACTGAGAAAATTAAAATTGAACAAGATCTCTTCATTATTATAATTCTTATTTGTAAGTGAGAAATTAAAAATATATAATACACGTGAGAGTACGTCACAGTAAATACAATGAAATAAATCGTTTGGAGATTTATTAGGGCACTCTTAAATAACACAAAAAAATTTGTGTCATAGTTTAGACAATTTTTTAATTAAAAAATTGAAAAGTACTTTTTAAAACTTTCTTCACACTGGCACCATTTTGTTATTTTTAAATAAAAATTCTTAATTGAGGTCCGGGACATAGCGACACTCATACAGATTGAGAATCTTTTTGATTTTTTGTTTCAAGTAAGCCTGAATGATAAAAGTCATCAACGCAGCGGACTCGCATCTTTTTTGACGCGTTATTCGAACGGTGTAGGAAACGCTTAGTTTAAAAATTGTTTAAATTATGACCAAAAAATTGTGTTATTCAAGAGTGCCCTAATAAATCGCAAAAAAGATTAATTTCATTGTATGGTGTAATTACTGTGAAAAAAATTGTTAAAGATAAGCATAGTTTTTGGGCCGTTAAAGCGGATAGACCCCTTAAAGATGTCTTTCAGACATGCGTGCTGTATGGGAGATGTGCGCATCAAAATAATCCCTTTGGCATGGATGTATTCGGCGAGTCAACAGGATTGCAAAGACAGTATAAGTAATCTCATTTTCTTGAAAAACCAACATTGTAAATGTATGAAATCGGCAGGATAAGACATTGCGTCACAAAAAGCGTTGGCTTAACATCAAAGGGAAGATCCTCGTCTTTCTCTAACTCCAAAAAGTAAACGTAACAAATAAATAACGTACTCTCGATACTCGGAAATTACACGAAATGTGTTCTTCAGGCAACCGCAGGTACATCGGCAAATGCCTAATGCATTGGCAAGGGGGGTAACCGCCAGCTAAAATGTTGTCCCACCGATTACACGATTTCATTTGATTGCATACGATTCTATCTGATTACAAAGGATCTCATCTAATCGCAAATCATTTTCTTATATGCACGTTTAAAAGTATGTAACGTTGTTAAACCTCAAAGAGCTGTTAGATTCCCTCAAAATATCTTTTTCGTATTTTACTAAGTATTTGCTTGTGGAGGTAATTTCAGGTAAGATTGCAGTATTCGGTCACGTGTTTCCTTGCTTCCCACTTTCCCCACTAGTCTAACCGTGGTCTTAACGAAAAGTAATTTTGTATTTGTATTTACTGTTTACTGTTCCAAATTTGCGCGCAAAGGTGTATCAACGTTTCAACTCGCTGCTGTTCTAACAGCAACTACTTCAGTCTTATTATGACAAGAATACGCGCTTATAGGTGTGAACTATTATACATATATTTGGATATTCACTAAAAGAAGTGATTTTTTTTTTGGAAAATGAAAGCAAGCTGAGAAAATGTTCAAATTTAGTGTTGATTGTCTAACAAGTGAAGAAACTTGAAAATTAAGGCAAAACGATTACACGGGGAGGTCGTAAGGATTTCATAATGTTTTCGGTGACACTGTCCCACGATTACGTGAAGTGGTTTACCCCCTTGTGCACTGGCCGATTTAAGGAGAGCCACCTTGACAAATAAGACTAGATGGACGATCGTTTAATCGACTGAGCGTAGCAATCTCTTCGGAGGATCAGGATTGCCCGACGAGGGCGATGATTCGAATCGAGTCTGACGTATGTAAGAGCCCGAGGAGCGTCGGTGAAGTAGAAAGATGTGCAAATACTTGTTACGGAGTAGGAATACGATGCTCGTGCGTATACGCGAGGTGTCGCGTTTACGCGACACGGCTCACGTGTGGGTTACAAGATATATCCCGAGGCCGCGAGCGGAGTGGGTTGCTCGAGTGGGGTCGTCGCTACTCTCAAGCGAATTTCTCCACCGGTCGATGGCTTACGCTTGCGCGCTGCTACCCCTTCGGGGGCAGCC